ATATATCTGAAATGCGCAGGGAGACACTGGTCAGAGAAATAGCAAGCATCGAACTTAAGCTAAAAGAATCCTTTAGGAGTCAGGAATCGCGGGAAGAACTAAAAGCTATAAATGAAATCGAAAGAAACCCAAAGTATTTCTTCTCCTATGCCAAATCAAAATCGAGAACAACGCCCAGTATTGGGCCCCTACTTAAACAAGATGGGTCCTACACAGATGACAGCAAGGAAATGAGTGAGCTACTCAAGTCCCAATATGACTCAGTTTTTAGCAAGCCGCTAACCAGACTGAGAGTCGAAGATCAAAATGAATTTTTTATGAGAGAGCCACAAAATTTGATTAACACAAGCCTATCCGATGTTATCCTGACGCCAAATGACTTCGAACAGGCGATAAATGACATGCCCATGCACTCTGCCCCAGGGCCAGACTCATGGAACTCTGTGTTCATCAAGAACTGCAAGAAGCCCCTATCACGAGCCTTTTCCATCCTTTGGAGAGGGAGCATGGACACGGGGGTCGTCCCTCAGTTACTAAAAACAACAGACATAGCCCCACTCCACAAAGGGGGCAGTAAAGCAACAGCAAATAACTACAGACCAATAGCACTAACATCCCATATCATAAAAATCTTTGAAAGGGTCCTAAGAAGCAAGATCACCACCCATCTAGAAACCCATCAGTTACACAACCCAGGGCAACATGGGTTTAGAACAGGTCGCTCCTGTCTGTCTCAGCTACTGGATCACTACGACAAGGTCCTAAATGCACTAGAAGACAAAAAGAATGCAGATGTAATATATACAGACTTTGCAAAAGCCTTCGACAAGTGTGACCATGGCGTAATAGCGCACAAAATGCGCGCTAAAGGAATAACAGGAAAAGTCGGTCGATGGATCTATAATTTCCTCACTAACAGAACACAGAGAGTAGTCGTCAACAGAGTAAAGTCCGAGGCAGCTACGGTGAAAAGCTCTGTTCCACAAGGCACAGTACTAGCTCCCATCTTGTTCCTCATCCTCATATCCGACATAGACAAGGATGTCAGCCACAGCACCGTGTCTTCCTTTGCAGATGACACCCGAATCTGCATGACAGTGTCTTCCATTGCAGACACTGCAAGGCTCCAGGCGGACATCAACCAAATCTTTCAGTGGGCTGCAGAAAACAATATGAAGTTCAATGATGAGAAATTTCAATTACTCAGATATGGTAAACATGAGGAAATTAAATCTTCATCAGAGTACAAAACAAATTCTGGCCACGAAATAGAGCGAAACACCAACGTCAAAGACCTGGGAGTGATTATGTCGGAGGATCTCACCTTCAAGGACCATAACATTGTATCAATCGCATCTGCTAGAAAAATGACAGGATGGATAATGAGAACCTTCAAAACTAGGGAGGCCAAGCCCATGATGACACTCTTCAGGTCACTTGTTCTATCTAGGCTGGAATATTGCTGCACTCTAACAGCACCTTTCAAGGCAGGTGAAATTGCCGACCTAGAAAATGTACAGAGAACTTTCACGGCGGACATAACGGAGATAAAACACCTCAATTACTGGGAGCGCTTGAGGTTTCTAAACCTGTATTCCCTGGAACGCAGGAGGGAGAGATACATGATTATATACACCTGGAAAATCCTAGAGGGACTAGTACCGAACTTGCACACGAAAATCACTCACTACGAAAGCAAAAGACTTGGCAGACGATGCACCATCCCCCCAATGAAAAGCAGGGGTGTCACTAGCACGTTAAGAGACCATACAATAAGTGTCAGGGGCCCGAGACTGTTCAACTGCCTCCCAGCACACATAAGGGGGATTACCAACAGACCCCTGGCAGTCTTCAAGCTGGCACTGGACAAGCACCTAAAGTCAGTTCCTGATCAGCCGGGCTGTGGCTCGTACGTTGGTTTGCGTGCAGCCAGCAGCAACAGCCTGGTTGATCAGGCGCTGATCCACCAGGAGGCCTGGTCACAGACCGGGCCGCGGGGGCGTTGACCCCCGAAACTCTCTCCAGGTAAACTCCAGGTAAGTGGAGGCAGGATCCATACATAGCTTTAAGCAGAGGTATGATAAAGCTCATGGCTCAGGGAGAGTGACCTAGTAGCGATTAGTGAAGAGGCAGGGCCAGGAGCTCGGACTCGACCCCCGCAACCTCAACTAGGTGAGTACAACTAGGTGAGTACACACACACGGTAATGCTTTATTTACAGTGAACAAAGTCAGGGTATTTTTCCAAAATGGTCTGTAATATACCACTGTGGATAAAATACTTTGCCATTTCTTGAACATTTCTGGGTGAGTTGTCTCTGAATTCATTAATTGTATCACATTTTAGCAAGCTGTGACAATAGTCCATCTGGCAAAGTTTACATTTCATTTGGTTTACATCTGGTGGTGGTGATTTAAGATGCCAAAGATACTTGTAACCCAGCCGGAGCCGGGCAGTAGTGATGTCCAAGAGTCTGCTTATTTTGTTGGATGTACCATAGACATGTAGCTCCTCCTGCTTGATAGAACTTTGATAGATGGACTGACTGGTGTCAGTCTCCCTGAGTCTTTAGTCAATAAATTTTAGCTGAAGTTCTTTTCGTATTATTGTTCTCAAATTGCTAACTGACAAGCCAAGATTGTAATCTGCTCCTCTTTGAAAGCATACAACTTAGCCAATTCATCAGTTCTATCATGCATCTGGAGACCAATGTGAGATAGAATCCACAGCATGTGCACTCTGACTCCACTCTCCACAATCCTACCATACCTGTGTCTGGCTTCTGACACAAGCATGCCACAATTTATACTTAATGAATTGAGAGCATTTATGGATGATAGAGAATCATTTACAATTAAAGTGTCAATCTTAGATACCCTGACTCTTCAAAGAGTTAAACCTACTTAGTACATATAAAACAATCACTCATACTGCTGTGCATACTACACATACAGAACAATAAATTCTAATATCATTCCTAACTTGAAATGCATTTTTGATATGTGCAACAGAATTCATAGACATAATACTAGACATAAAAATCTCCATGACATTCCCATGTCTGGCTTAAGCTTTGTAAAAACTCGATGTGAATAAAAGGACCCAAAGCCTGGAACTCCCTACCTGGAAACTCCAGATCCTCTCTATTTGTCAGCAGCTTCAAAGTTACCATAAAAAAAAAATTCCTTAATATATGGTACTAACAATCAAGTATGTTAATAATGTGCAAAAATGGTAAACAACTCTTTCAACCACAAATATGTTAAAAACCATATATTCTTATTCTCACTACTTGTAATCATAATTCAGCTTTATAGATACAGTTGTCTCCTTGTTTGTTCTATTTGTAATGCCTGAATTTGTTGTTTGTTTGCTTCTAATGGTTATAAATATAAGCAAATAATAATTATTTCCATTTTAGTTTTAAGTTAGGTTTAAAATTGCCTGAAATGCTCTGCATAACCATAGGCTTTCTGCATGCACAAGCAAATGTTATGTTACCTATCTCTGTACAAACATTGTATCATGTAGCAGTAAATCTTTAACTTTGACTTGCAATCATAATTTAGTTTTAAGCTCCCTGAATGCTTTGCATAAAAAGGGGCTTTTTATAAAGTGGTTATATATGTCACTCACCTTAATTGTATAATATGCTGTATTCCACTTTATAGAAATAAGTTTGTTTGTTTTTAACTAGCTTTTTACCTGGGATGCAAACCTGTTACAGCTCTAAGTGCTCGCAGCCATTATTTGCATTGGCAGCAAAGTCCTGTTACAACAGGTCCAGGTAGTGGGACCTCAAAGCCTAGATGCCTCCATCTAGTTACATGTTCTAGATGAGACCCATCATACAACTTGATCCTGCTGACTGCACCTCTATTAAAGAGAATGCCTGTTAAATATCTTTGTTTTCTAAGCAGAGATAATCAACCCCATGTCCTGACACAAAACTAGTACATGGTTCAGGGCATTTTGGGTGTTGGAGAATCCAGTGGTGTGAATCATTATATCGTCAGCAAATCTAATCATATAATGATTGTGTTAGCTAGGCATGGCATTTAGTAAAGCATTGATTAGAATATTGAATAAGGTGGGACTGTGCACATCTTCCTGTGGGGTTCCTACTTCAAAGTTTTTAGTTACACTTCTGTGCCCCTGGAACAATACAAAAGACTTTCTGTTGAATGGGTAGCTTTTATTCCAGCAGAGAAACCATTCTTCTACAGCCATTCTGGCAAGTTAATTAATGATTATATGTCAGTTAACTATATCAGCAGAAGATTTAAGGTCAAGGACAGTATTGTAGGAGCTGTCATTGTGCTGGGTGAGAAAGGTGGTTTTGCAATGATGCACACTCTTTTCATGCATGAAACCATACGGTTGGGGAGGCAAAAGCTGTTTGATTCTGTGTATGAGATGATTTAGAATCTTCCTCTCAAATGTTTTATACAAGCAGCTAGTAAGAGATACAGTACTGGGTTAATATGCATTTTGTTGATTGGGCTTCGGAAAGGGAATGATGAATATATGTAGCACATTGTCATTTGCCGAGTATGCAACACTATCCCTGCTGCCATTGCTTCATTGCAATGGCAGTAGACAAAGTCCGTTTTTTTTTTTATAGAATTGTATGTTATTGTTATAATTGTGGCAAAACAATCTCATCTGTATCCATCACAATCACCATTACCAGCCAGCTGCTTCCTCCCCCCCCCCTATTAGTCCATTAAAGAAAGGGTTGTCTATGTAACAATGCTTTACCAGGCTCTTCCTGGTTATCTTAACCAGTACTTTGGAGAGTATACAGATCAGTCATATTGATCTTACCTGTCATTTTTGATATTATATTCATGGGGGAAGCGCTAAACCCATAGGGGATATACATCTATCTATCCCCTTTAACCTGTTTGTGTTTGACGGTAATGTTTTTGATGTTTTCATGTGTAGTGGTTAGTAATGTCAACCTTTCATAATGAATTTTTTTCTCTCATGGGTGTCAGCTGGGTCACTGGTGGGTGGATGGGCACGGTACCGCTGGGGGGTGTTCGAGGAGCGAGGATATGAGGCCCACCCACGCTACCCTGTCACCTACATCACTGATGGCTCCCTCAAACATACGGCTTGTACTCCCACTCTCACACCTGGACTCTGGACCCATAAGAAAGAGTGAGACTGACTCTGTACTGTGTTAATCATAAAATCATTAAGATTTTCAGAGTGAGAAGCAGCTAGGGCAAAAGGTTAGATGCCATATGTTACTATGTAAGACAGTTGTGATTACCTAAAGCTTTTGTAATTGTATTTACAGTAGTGCCTCACTTATACGGCAAATTAGGTTCCAGGCTACCACCGAAAAGCGGACATCACCAGTAAGCAGAATGCCATTTTCTCCACTTATAAATGCATACAAATGCCAGATAACAAGTTTACACAAACATCATAAACAATGGGGGAAGTGATGAGAAAAAGTCATGCCGAGAATTGTAAACTAAGCTGAATGCGTTAAGGGGAGTGACTGGGCTAAATGTGCATGACAGTGTCCTACATTGAAGACACTGCAAGACTCCAGGTGGACATCAACCAAATCTTTAATTAGGCTGCAGAAAACAATATGAAGTTCAGTGATGAGAAATTTCAATTACTCTGATATGGAAAGCACGAGGAAATTAAAACTTCATTGGAGTAAAAAACAAATTCCAACCACACAATAGAGCGAAAAGCAAATATCAAAGACCTGGGAGTGATCATGTCAGAGGATCTCATCTTCAAGGACCATAACATTGTATCAATTGCATCTGCTAGAAACATGACAGGATGGATAATAAGAACTTTCAAAACCAGGTTGCTTGTTCTATCTAGGCTGGAATATTGCTGCACACTAAGATAAGATAAGATAAGATAAGATTTCGTTCGGATTTTTAACCCCGGAGGGTTAGCCACCCAGGATAACCCAAGAAAGTCAGTGAGTCATCGAGGACTGTCTAACTTATTTCCATTGGGGTCCTTAATCTTGTCCCCCAGGATGCGACCCACACCAGTCGACTAACACCCAGGTACCTATTTGCTGCTAGGTGAACAGGACAACAGATGTAAGGAAACGTGTCGAAATGTTTCCACCCGCCGGGAATCGAACCCGGGCCCTCCATGTGTGAAGCGGGAGCTTTAGCCACCAGGCCACCCCACCAGCACCTTTCAAGGTAGGTGAAATTGCTGACCTAGGAAATGCACTGAGAACCTTCATGGCATGCATAACTATGAATAAGTACCTCAGTTACTGGGAATACTTGAAGTTCCTAAACCTGTACTTCCTAGAACACAGGCAGGAGAGATACATGATTATATACACTTGGAAAATCCTAGAGGGATTAGTACTACCAAACTTGCACACGAAAATCACTCCCTATGAAAGCAAAAGACTAGGCAGACGATGCAACATCCCCCCAATGGAAGGCAGGGGTGCCACTAGCATGATAAGAGACAACACAATAAGTGTGGAGGGCCCAAGACTGTTCAACTGCCTCCCAGCATATATAAGGGGGATTACCAATAGACTCCTGGCTGTCTTCAAGAAGACACTGGACAGGCACCTAAAGTTAGTACCTGACCAGCCGGGCTGTGAGCCGTACATTGGACTGCGTGCAGCTAGCAGTAACAGCCTGGTTGATCAGGCCCTGGTCCACCATCAGGCCTGGTCACAGACCGGGCTGCTGGGGCATTGACTCCCGGAACTCTCTCTCCAGGTATACGCCAGGTATACACGTTTTCTCTGGTGCTGGACCAGAGAGAACATAATTCTTTTCCTCCCTCCAGCTACATCTCATATTTATGTGAAATTTATTGTGCTCTAGGTGTATGTATCATATTTATATAGTATGTAATGTGTATATTCTATAATTTTGAAGAAAATATCGTAGATGGATTAATGAAAATGTCTATATTAACGAAAAATAAGACATTTATTGTGCCCAATAATGATTATTATTGTTTCGTATAGCCTCTCTTCACTTAGCAACATACTCGTTTACCAGCGCCTCGGACTTATGATGGGCACTCTGACCAGAATGCGTACCTAAATGATGTATACTAGAGCTGATTTCCTCTATTCTGTTTATTACAATATACAGTACACTGCTGTATAAACATTTTAAAAAATACAGTGGCACCTCGAATTTCGGCAGAAATTCATTCCAGAAGGCTGTTCAATTGCCGTTACCGAATGAATTTGTTCCCATAAGGAATAATGTAAATTAGATTAGTCCGTTTCAGACCCACAAAAATACACTTACATAAATAAACTTACATAATTGTTCAAGTTGGGAGCTGTTCGAAATTTGAGGTACCACTGTATACCAGAAATCTTTTAAATAGTGCAAAGGTAACATTAAAACAATAAACCCACCACCATTATAGCATGCTCCTCACTTAGCGACGAATTTGTTTGCCGACATGGTCTTGGGAACGGAACTCTGTCATTAGGAAAGAAGAGGCTGTATTAGTATTATTATTATTAATATGGTATCAAGACTAAAGGGACACTCTTAGTGATTTTAATGTGCACCAACATGCCAGCACAGTGTGTAAGTTTATGTAGGTACAGGTACACATAAGCATAATTATCAGAGTATATATAAAATATGCAATAACTTTAAAACACTTGAAATTTTGGAAAGGTTCCAGACATAATGGAGAGACATGGAGCTCATGGAGAATGTAAACAAACCAGGTGGCATGTGGTGACTGTATTAGAGAGTCAGGTAGGAGGAGCTGTATAGCGAGTTTTGGTCATAATTCGAAATGTCTGTATTAGCAGAATGCTGAAAGGCGAAATGCCATAAAGCGAGGCCCTGCTGTGTATGTAATTTTTTTTAACACGTCGGCCGTTTCCCACCGAGGCAGGGTGACCCAAAAAGAAAGAAAAAACTTCCATTATCATTCAGCACTTTCACCATCACTCATACATACTGAGGCACTCAGGTACTACAGCTTAAACGTCCCTCCAAACTGCCAATATCCCAAGCCCCTCCTTTAAAGTGCAGGCATTGTACTTCCTATTTCCAGGACTCAAGTCCGGCTAACTGGTTTCCCTGAATCCCTTCACAATATATTACCGTGCTCACACTCCAACAGCTCGTCAGGTCCCAAAAACCATTCGTCTCCATTCACTCCTATCTAACACGCTCACTCGTACTTGCTGGAAGTCATGCCCCTTGCCTGCAAAACCTCCTTTACCCTCTCCTTCCAACCTTTTCGGGAATGGACCCCTACCCTGCCTTCCTTTCCCTACAAATTTATACGCTCTCCAAGTCATTCTACTTTGTTCCATTCTCTCTAAATGACCAAACCACCTCAACAGCCCCTCTTCAGCCCTCTGACTAATACTTTTAGTAACTCCACACCTCCTCTTAATTTCCACACTATGAATTCTCTGCAAAATATTTACACCACACATTGCCCTTAGACACGACAATTCCACTGCTTCCAGTCCCCCTCCTTGCTGAAGCATTTACAACCAAGCTTCACACCCATATAAGAGTGCTGGTACCACTATACTCTTGTACATTCACTTCTTTGCCTCCATGGATAATGTTCTTTATCTGCACAGATACCTCAATGCACCATTCACCTTTTTTCCTTCATCAGTTCTATGGTTAACCTCATCCTTCATAAACCCATGCACTGACAAGTCAACTCCCAAATATCTGAAAACATTCACTTCTTCCATACTCCCTCCCTTCAGTGTGATATCCAATTTTTCTTTATCTAAATCATTTGATACCGTCATCACCTTACTCTTATCTATGTTCACTTTCAACTTTCTACCCTTACACACCCTCCCAAACTCATCCACTAACCTTTGCAACTTTTCTTTAGAATCTCCCATCAGCACAGTATCATCAGCAAAATGTAACTGTGTCAACATCGTTTTTGTATTTGATTTCCCATAATTTAATCCCACACATCTCCCCAACACTGGCATTTACTTCTTTTACAACCCCATCTATAAATATGTTAAACAACCATGGTGACATTACATATCCCTGTCTAAAGCTTACTTTTACTGGAAGTAATCTTCCTCTCTCCTACATACCCTAACCTGAGCCTCACTATCTTCAAAAAACTCTTTACAGCATTTAGTAAGTTACTACCTATTCCATACACTTGGAACATCTGCCACAATACTCCCCTATTCACTATCATATGCATTTTCAAAATCCATAAATGCAATGAACACTTCTTTACCTATATCTAAACACTGTTCACATATATGCTTCCATGTAAACACCTGATCTCCACATCCTCTACCCATTCTAAAGCCTCCTTGCTCATCTGCAATCCTGCTGTCTGTCTTATCTCTAATTCTTTCAATAATAACCCTTTACATGGTATACTCAATAAATTTATTCCCCTATAATTTTTACAATTTCTTTTGTCCCCCTTCCCTTTATATAAAGGATTATACATGCTCTCTGCCAATCCCTAGGTACCTTCCTGTCTTTCATACATTAATTAAACCAAAATACCAACCACTCCAACACTATATCTCTCCCTGCTTTTAACATTTTTGTCATGATCCTGTCAGTTCCAGCTGCTTTACCCCCTTTCATTCTACATAATGCCTCATGCACCTCCCCCACACTCACATCCTGCTTTTCTTTACTCCTGAAAGATGCTGTACCTCCCTGGCCAGTGCATGAAATTACTGCCTCCCTTTCTTCATCAACATTTAAAAGTTCCTCAGAATATTCCTGCCATCTACCCAATACCTTCAGCTCCTCATCTACTAACTCCCTTACTGTTTTTAACTGACAAATCTTTTCGTTCCCTAGGCTTTTGTAACTTGTTTGTGTCACTCCAATTTTTTTTCTTATTTTCAGCAAAATTTCTTGACAGTGCCTCTCCCACTCAATCATCTGCTCTCCTTTTGTACTCTTTCACCACTCTCTTCACCTTTTATTTACTCTCCATATACTCTGCCTGTCTTCTATCGCTTCTGCTTTGTAAAAACCTCTCATAAGCTACCTTTTTCTTTTTTATCGCACCCTTTACCTCATCATTCCATCAGTCACTCCTCTTTCCTCCTGCACCCACCCTCCTATAGCCACAGACTTCTGCCCTACATTCTAATACTGCATTTTTAAAACTATCCCATCCCTCTTCAACCCCCACACTACCTATACTTGCACTAGCCCACCTTTCTGCCAATAGTTGCTTATATCTCAACCTAACTTCCTCTTTCTTTAGTTATAAACTTTCATCTCGTACTTACTATTGCCATTTTCTTTTTGTCCCATCTACCTCTTACTCTAACTGTAGCTACAACTAGATAATGATCCAGTATATCCGTTGCCCCTCTATAAATATGTACATCCTGAAGCCTACCCATCATCCTTTTATCAAGCAATACATAATATAACAAACTACTTTCATTACATGCTATATCATATCTTGTATACATACTTATTTATCCTCTTTTTCATAAAATATGTATTACTTATTACCAAACCTCTATCTACACATAGTTCATTTAAAGACTCCCCATTTTCATTTACCCCTGGCACCCCAGATTTACCTACTGCTCCCTCTGCAACATTTTTACCCACTTTAGCATTGAGATCCCCAACCACAAGTACTCTCTTACTTCGTTGAAAATTTCCCACACACTCGCTCAACATTTACCAAAATCTCTCTCTCTCCTCTACACTTCTCTCTTCTCCAGGTGCTTAAAATCTTACTATAACCCAGTTTTCACATCCAACCTTTATTTTACTTCACATAATCCTTGAATTAATACATTTATATTCCTTCTTTTCCTACCATAACTTAACCTTCAACATTATTGCTACTCCTTCCTTAGCTCTAACTCTATTAGAAACCCCTGACCTAATCCCATTTATTTCTCCCCACTGAAACTCTCCTGCCCCCTTCAGATTTGTTTCACTTAGAGCCAGCTTCTTTTTGTTCATAACAATCATCTCTTTCTTACATATTTACTTACATATTTCTGTACAATTTGTTTTTTACTTTGTACTGATAATTCCATATTATATACTGAAATAATTTTGAGTTTAAGATAGACAGAAACCTTCCAGGGAGGTACAGTACTACCATCCTGTAACATAAATGCAAAATGGTGCAAGCTAAATATTTTGTACTCTGGCAGTATTCCAGGTCTTTGCTTTCTGTTTCATTAAAATGTATTATAGCAGTTAAATCTTACCAACTTCTGCCTGCATTCAGTATACACTAAGCTTAAATTTATTATGTTTCTTGATAGTTGTTATTACTGTATTTCTCATTTCCTTTTCAATTTAGAAGGCTTGTTTTAAGAGTAGACTAGGGGGGGTTATGATCCCCAAATTATTAGCAGCATGTGACAATGATGGTCCAAGACAGGCTGAAAGTTTGAATAGGTATAAGTATGTTGTTTCTAGTTTCCTCTTGAAAGTGTGGCTTAATTATGAACAGATGTTTGATTACCAGGTCTTGTTTGACTTTTGAGGTGACATTTTATTGGTGTTGTCAGATCTGGTGAGTGTGAAGATCCTGATCAGGGAAAGCTGGGTGAGTGTGTGTGGATGCCTGACACCTCGCTGCAACTCAACACCTCCCTCCTCTACCGCACTGACCTACCCCAGGTAAGTGAAGTGTAATGAACTGGCTGCTACTTTCAAAGGTTTATTTGACTCATTACAGTACTTGTCTGAAATACTACAAAAGCACACATAGTAATAACTGAAAGAAGAAACACAATAATATTATATACGTAATGCACAATAAACATACATAGTGGCTTTATTCTCTTATAAAGAAAGTACTTATATAAAATGAACATGGCTGTAATTGGCAAAGTCCAGTACTATGCTGATCAAAACATCAGAAAAATCCAAGTACATATGCAGTGTGCACAAATAACAATGATCCCTATGGATAAGTATAAAATTGTATGACATTATTTCCTTGCATAGATGCCCTCCAAACTTTCTTCGGCACTGGATAAAAAACTGAAACTGATCTCCAAATGAACCAGATTCATGATCTATGTCAAGTAAGACAACAGCAACACTTCCCCACACCACGGAAAATTACCTCATTCCAAACCACTATCCCTCATTTTCCCCATAAAAACTTAAATCACAACCAAAACTTTGCCTTGAAGCCAAGCAGGATGTCATAAGCTGTACTGATGCCTTAGTCTCACAATGCTCTCTTTCACAAGCTATGTATGTTGATAGCTCTGTTCATCAATCCACTGGTTCAGCTGGTAGTGCTACTGTCATACAGAGCGATGGCTTTAGTATAGAAATGGGAGTATGCATCAATAACTGGGCTTTTACCCTTCAGACTGAACTGTTTGCCACACTTCTCACACACAGTACAATACAATTTTTATTTCTTTATGCAGTACAAATACTGTAGTTTACATATAATAAAGCAGTGGTAGGCACAAAAGAAAGCCGCTACTTACAGCATTCTACTAACATCATTCTAAGATCCATTGTTATGAAACTTTTTTTTTTTTAACAAGTTGGCCATCTCCCACCGAGGCAGGGTGACCCAAAAAGAAAGAAAATCCCCAAAAAGAAAATACTTTCATCATCATTCAACAGTTTCACCTCACTCATACATAATCAGTTTTTGCAGAGGTGCCCAGAACACAACAGTTTAAAGGCATATACGTATAAAGATACACAACATATCCCTCTAAACTGCCAATATCCCAAACCCCTCCTTTAAAGTGCAGGCATTGTACTTCCCATTTGCAGTACTCAAGTCCGGCTATATAAAAATAACAGGTTTCCCTGAATCTCTTCACTAAATATTACCCTGCTCACGCTCCAACAACTCGTCAGGTTCCAAATACCATTCATCTCCATTCACCCCTATCTAACACACTTATGCATGCTTACTGGAAGTCCAAGCCCCTCGCCCACAAAACCTCCTTTACCCCCTCCCTCCAGCCTTTTCAAGAACGACCCCTACCCCACCTTCCTTCCCCTACAGATTTATACACTCTCCATGTCATTCTACTTTGATCCATTCTCTCTAAATGACCAAACCACCTCAACAACCCCTCTTCTGCCCTCTGACTAATACTTTTATTATCACCACACCTCCTAATTTCCACACTCTGAATTCTTTGCATAATATTTACACCAAATATTGCGCTTAGACAGGACATCTCCACCGCCTCCAACCACCTCCTCGCTGCAGCATTTACAACCCAAGCTTCACATCCATATAAGAGTGTTGGTACCACTATATTTTCATACATTCCCTTCTTTGCCTCCATAGATAATGTTTCTTGTCTCCACATATACCTCAATGTGCCACTCACCTTTTTTCCTTCATCAATTCTATGGTTAACCTCATCCTTCATACATCCATCCGCTGGCACATCAACTCCCAAATATCTGAAAACATTCACTTCTTCCGTACTCCTCTCCAATTTGATATCCAATTTTTCTTTATCTAAATCATTTGATACTCTCATCACCTTACTCTTTTCTATGTTCACTTTCAACTTTCTACCTTTACGCACTCTCCCAAACTCGTCCACTTACCTTTGCAGCTTTTCTTTAGAATCTCCCATAAGCACAGTATCATCAGCAGAAAGTAACTGTGTCAATTCCCATTTTGTATTTGATTCCCCATAATTTAATCCCACCCCTCTCCTGAGCACCCTAGCATAAATATATTAAACAACCATGGTGACATTACACATCCCTGTCTAAGACCCACCTTTACTGGGAAGTAGTCTCCCTCTCTCCTACACACCCTAACCTGAGCCTCACTATCCTCATAAAAACTCTTTACAGCATTTAGTAACTTACTACCTATTCCATATACATACTTGCAACATCTGCCACATTACTTCCCTATCCACTCTGTTGTATGCCTTTTCTAAATCCATAAATGCAATGAAAACTTCCCTACCTTTATCTAAATACTGTTCACATATATGCTTCAATGTAAACACTTGATCTACACATCCCTTACCCACTCTAAAACCTCCTTGTTCATCCGCAGTCCTACATTCTGTCTTGCCTCTAATTCTTTCAATAATAACCCTACCATACACTTTTCCTGGTATACTCAGTAAACTTATTCCTCTATAATTTTTAGTCTCTTTTGTCCCTCTTCCCTTTATATAAAGGAACTATACATGCTCTCTGCCAATTCCTAGGTTCCTTTCCCTCTTTCATACATTTATTAAACAAAAATACCAACCACTCCAAAACTGTATCCCCCCCTGGTTTTAACATTTCTGTCATGATCCCGTCAGTTCTAGCTGCTTTACCCCATTTCATTCTATGTAATGCCTCACACCCTGCTCTTCTTCACTCCTAAAAGATAGTATACCTCTCTGGCCAGTGCATGAAATTACTGCCTCCCTTTCTTCAGTGACATTTAAAAGTTCCTCAAAATATTCCTGCCATCTACCCAACACCTCCATTTCCCCATCTACTAACTCCCCTACTCTGTTTTTAATTGACAAATTCATTTGTTCCCTAGGCTTTCTTAACTTGTTTATCTCACTTCAAAATTGTTTCTTAGTTTCATCAAAATTTCTTGACAGTGCCTCTCCCACTCTATCATCTGCTCTCCTTTTGCACTCTCTAACCATTCTCTTCACCTTTCTTTTACTCTCCATATACTCTGCTCTTCTTATAACACTTCTGCTTTATAAAAACCTCTCATAAGCCACCTTTTTCTCTTTTATCACACCCTTTACTTCATCATTCCACCAATCACTCCTCTTTCCTCCTGCCCCCACCCTCCTATAGCCACAAACTTCTGCTCCACATTCTAATACTACATTTTTAAAACTATTCCAACACTCTTCAACCCCCCCCCCCACCCACTACTCATACTTGCACTAGCCCACCTTTCTGCCAATAGTTGTTTATATCTCACTCTAACTTCCTCCTCCCTTAGTTTATACACTTTCACCTCTCTCTTACTTGTTGTTGCCATTTTCCTTTTGTTCCAACTACCTCTTACCTTAACTGTAGCTACAACTAAATAATGATCCGATATATCAGTTGCCCCTCTATACACATGTACATCCTGAAGCCTACCCGTCAACCTTTTATCCACCAATATATAATCTAACAAACTACTTTCATTACGTGCTATATCATACCTTGTATATTTATTTATCCTCTTTTTCATAAAATATGCATTATTTATTACCAAACCTCTTTCTACACATAGCTTAATTAAAGGCTCCCCATTTTCATTTACCCCTGGCACCCCAAATTTACCTACACTCCCTCCACAACATTTTTAGCCACTTTAACATTGAAATACCCGGCCACAAGTACTCTCACACTTGGTTCAAAACTCCCCACACACTCACTCAACAATTCCCAAAACCTCTCTCTCTCCTCTACACTTCTCTTTTCTCCAGGTGCATATACGCTTACTATAACCCACTTTTCACATCTAATCTTTATTTTACTCCACATAATGCTTGAATTAATACATTTATACTCCTTCTTTTCCTGAAACATGACACATCAATATGAAAAACAATATAGAAGGGGCTTAATAATTAAAGAATTTATCAAACACTGAATGTCAATCCTCACCAAATTAATCAGAAAGTCTAAGCAACTATACTATTCTAATAGATTCACTGAAATGAGAGGAGATATAAAAAAGACCTGGAAGATACTCTCAGATGCTAGGCATCCTCAAACTGAACAAAGCTAGTAATATTGTACTAACTAAACTGTATGAACTGAAACTTCAGCCTACTGATACAGCTAATGAGATAAATGACTTCTTCTTTACCATAGGATCAAATCTTGCCAGTAAAATTCCAAATACCAATGCCCGAGCTAATGATTATTTAGACGGAAACTTCCCAACATCCCTCTGTCTTGCACCAACAGAGCCCACTGAGGTTATGATGATTATTAAGTCTCTAAAAAGCAAATCAAGAAATATAGCCCAAGTACCACCACTACTATACAAAAGAGCAGCTCAAGTCCTTTCACCCACCATTGTATTACTCTTTAACAAATCACTAGAAACCAACACTTTCCCGGCATCACTCAAAATAGCAAGGATTACATCAATACACAAAGGTGGTGACCCAACAGATGTAAGCAACTATAGGCCAGTATCAAACTTGCCTTTACTTTTCAAAATCTTTGAGAAGCTCATACACAAAAGATTATACTCCTTCATAACACACAAAGCATCCTCATCCCCTGCCAGTTTGGCTTCAGGAGAAACAAAAGCACAAATGACAAATAATAAAAATGTATGAACTTTTTATTGACCTTAAGAAAGCTTTTGATACAGTAGACCACAGCATCCTACTCCTCAAGCTTGATCATTTTGGTATAAGAGGCCATGCACTTGCATATATGTATCAAGTCATACCTTAGTAATAGAAAGCAGTACATCTGTATCAAGGACACAACCTCCTCAACAAGACCCCTGGACACTGGTGTACAACATGGAATCATTCTTGGCCCCCTCCTTTTCCTTTTATACATTAATGATCTTCCAAGCGTATCACAACAACTTATGCCTATTCTCTTTGTTGATGACACAACCTTTGTCATCTCCCACCCTAATCTATCCTCACTCAACGCTCATGTTAATGAAGAGCTCGAAAAAA